CGAATTCTTGAGTAGCAGAGTTGAATTATATTTTGAAAAGTTCAATTAGTAATGCCTACGTAACCGGAAGCATCTCTGCAAAATATAAATAGTCAATGTAGCGTGCCGACTTCGCATATATTTCACGTATCGACTTTGAATACAATGGCTAAAAAGGGACACTTTGGTCAGGCACTATGATGACTAGTACCTTGCGTCGAATAAGGAGGAATAGGAAATGAACACGGCGTGAACTTTCTTCGTAGAATAGGGATGATTTTCAAGTAGTATACAGGAGTTTTCATTCAAGGTAACACAAATTCTTCGATTGAGGTAGATACTTATTTCCTTTGTCGATAGTCGAAAGCTCTAGGAGACTGAATAATAACATCGTCTACGCATCCGAACAAGACGCAAGATAGCGAGCGACGAGGGTACGAGGCATGCTGAAACACGGAGAATTAATGTCGAGTGCGAGAGGCACTATCACCAATATATACGTCGTGAGACGTGCGAGTGGATCGGACACGAGCCGCACAGAAACCCCGCCAGAAGCTGGGTTTCGGTGTGGCTTGTGGCTTTCGGTGTGGCTTGTGGCTTTTACGTTTCGGTGTGGCTCGGTTCTAACTCTTCTACTCAAATATAACCTCTGTCTTATAAAAACAACAAGCCACACCGAAACCACAGATCGGACACAAGCCACACAGAAACCACCAGAAACTGGAGCCAGATAAGAGCCACCATCTGCTCCGGTTGAGGATCCCGTACTTAGGTCCGGTTTAACTAAGCACGATGTAGGTTAGTTAGGCTTGGAATATCCCATCTACGGCAGTCGATCTTTTATTAGCCTAGATTTGGCTTTCTGAATTCGACTCTGAACTTTTTCAGTCCACATCACCACGATTGTACTCATAGAGAAAATATGCCCGCCTTTGAGAGGTAACTCAACGATTACTATTATCACAGGTATAACATTTTATTTTTTCTAACAATCACGAGTTTAATTCAATAAATCATATAAAAAGTTATAACGATGACCGGTTCTAACACGCCTATAACTCAGCAACCGGCGTATCTCATCCGGATCAATCACAGTTTGACCTTACAAGACGCATAGCCACGTCAAATGATATTTGTTAGCTAAATCAGCAAAATAATGTAACTGCGCAATCCTCCCGGTGACTGTTTTTTCTCTTGAAATTTGGCAGCATGTTATGCTTCTATCTGACGCAGTAACCTTCTTGTTTCTAAATTTCTAATGCTAATTGAAAGCCTCGGAAGAATGTTAGATGTAACTGGCATGTTCATACAACGACAGTAAATAAGGTCAAGATATTCGCTTATTGACAAACAAGCTTCACGATAAAGCATTATAATTTTATCATCCTCTTTACTTTCATAATTATCCCCTGATTCTACTCTAACTCCCATAACATTGGTTAACAGACGAGTTAATCAAAGATTACGTTCACTACACAGTTCTCTCATAGGCCTATATGCATTAAGGTCCATACGTTATGCCTTTAAGGTCGTACAATTAAGTAAAGCATCCTGGAATAGAAGGTTAATAATTTATGCCACTACAGTCGTACAAGTAGGATTTCCTGACAATAGAAGAAGGTTTATACGTTATGCCGTCAAGGTCGTACTAGTGAAATGTCCTCTAAATATTCTGTATGGTTTGCTGCGTGAAGCCTCGCATAGGGACTGTAGAGAAGCCATAAGTGCGCTCTGCCACACTAATGGAATGAAGCCCGCTGACGTTGTGTTCTTTATTATCAGCAAATATAACTGCAAATAACATACAATAGGAACAATATTACAATGGGGATTGGAATCACATTGATAACATGACGCGTTGTCGTGTTGTGAGAGTCCATCCATTAGGAAATGGTAACAATTTGATTGATGAGAAGGATCTGGTGAATGTGTCATAACGTAAATCAGTAAATTAATTTTATTTATTTCTAATGAATTTTAATTGAAGAAAAGACAGCAAATGAATCTATATGCTGTGTAAATTTTATCGGCTAATTGATGTTATTTAGACGCTGATAAATTCTGGGACTTTTGGACCTAGAATAAGGCTTGAATTTAAGCAAATGTTGATCATCAAAATTTGTTCTGAATATTTTCTCCTAATTAATTTCATTTAACCTCAATACTCATGCAAGTCTTAATTGGACCAACCGCTCGTACAGCCTCAGTCTGGAAGATCAGCGACGCCATTGAGATAATTAACGGCCTAACGAGAGCGCTTCATATCAAGTGTTTGCTTCAAGTCACCGGAGATTGCAGGCCATCTCCATGCATAATCTGGGCCATGCCAAACCATCATTACTGATGTTTGTTGAACTCGTTAGTAGACTAAAATTCGTGGGTACATCGTTACAAGCAAACAACCCTTGACGCATCAGTGACAATTTTTTATGGACATTTTGCCGTGTTGCAGCAATCGATGTGTCGTCTATGTAAACATGACACCTCCACGATATTTTTTTAACTAAAATTTAAAATCATTCATGTTCTGAAACTTTTGAGCTGTGTGTTTTGATTGAATAATTCATATTTTACATAGATTGGCACAAAGACGAGCTGAGAAATACTTTTAAAATTACTGCGTAACATCGCCGCGCTCAAGAATTTGTCGTCATTTTTGTGTCGAAAATGAAATCGATATAAAGATGAATACGCCGTGGAAACAAGATATAACTCCTGTAATGCTCTCATGTTCGGGCTGTGCTGAATAATATGCCAATGTTATCGTATAGTGCGTCCGAATTGGTTTCTGAATGCTTATCAACTATCAGAACTACGGTGCTAACTTCACTTAAACAGTTGCTTAGCTACATTGGTCGATTAAAATATCTTTTATAGCCTACAGATATTAACTCTTTCTGAGTAAAACTAACTCAAGATTGTGCGGTTTCTGTGTTAATACCGTTTTTTGTCCATGCAATATTGGGAGAAGATAAGAGGTTATACTGCAAACATTTCAAGGCATATCTTGCGATGGCTCAGACGGTTTGCTATGGTCAAACATTCCGATTGAAAATTTTCAAAAAGGGGGTGAAAGATGGGGAGTTTTGTCCGTATTTTCTAATTATTTTATTTTTTTATCATTTCATTTGGGGGCAAGTAGACTTTTTGCATTATTGAAAGCCTGTCATAGAAACGTGCGGTCAGCGTTTTATGCAATCTGCAATCCACAATTAGTCTGTCGGCTGCGTCGGAAACAATCTTCCTCTTTGCTTTCAACGGAATAATATTTCTGTTGCGTCATCGCGTGCAGCGGGAGAGTCCGTCCTTTGCGTCTATTCGTATAGCAGGAAATTACGTAAATTGCGTAGCCGCGCTTAGCTACCATTGCGCCGGCCTTTGACGACGCGAGTGACGAATTGTGGCGGGATATTCCGTCGAATTTCTTTAGGCCTGTCGAGTGAAATTTCGTCGTGGCCGCTTGTCGGAAATAGCGCCTCTGATATCAGCTGCCATCGCCCCAACTCGCCTGGACAAATTAGGGTTGGAATATTCCTAGACCTTTGGCGGCGCACGGAGTACCTTGCAAGTCAAATAATTCCCTCTGGTATTGTACCTCGAGACAAATGCGCGATTTGTTTACTTCTGATGCGCTTAATAACTTACATTACATCTCCTCATGACTGATAATTCCAAACAAATTTATACTTACTAATAGAAATAAATAATCTTGTCATTGATTATTTGTTCACAATTTAACTAAGTGCCGGGATTCACTACTTGCGAAAAAAAATTGTAAGTATTGAACTTTCAGAAAAATAATATCAACTTCAAATATGTGCTACATACTCTACTATATAGATAAGATATCCCCTTCTCCATGCCGTAACCTGAGGCCAATTAAGATTAAGGTACGCAGATGAGCATAAATCAAGTTTATTGGTTCTTTTGTACTCATTACCAAGGACTCATCACATTAAGGGACGGTAATTCCTGTGGGTATGCAAAGTAAGTCAGGCTTGTCGTGACTCACTCCATTAGCGGCCATAGGCTGTCCGCGACTGACGAGCTCGGCTTACTCCTAATTCTTCCCTCAGTGAGGGTAGGGTTAGAAATGAGGGACCACGCCCATGCAAATAACCTACATAAACCTATACGTGCCTCATGGCCTGTAACTTCCTATTTTCTTAAGGTCCTCTCACTTTATTTACTGAGCTTGTTGCTTCGTTTTGCCTACGTTGCCCAGTTTCTAATGTTGCTCCGTCTTTCATTGTTTAGGTTATCACAAATAAGAACAAGATTGAGTGTATTAATTACCATGGAGCTTACGCTTGCTTCAGGACATCGGGTTGCTTATTGATCTGAAACTATGAAACAGCAGTTATATCTCGCGTTACAGGCTGCCTGCCTTGCTGCCGTATCTACAACACATAACAACATTAATGTCTCGCATTACAGGCTGCCTGCCTTGGTGTGTCCACAACACATAACATTAATGTCTCGTGTTACAGGCTGCCTGCCTTGGTGTGTCCACAACACATAACATTAATGTCTCGTGTTACAGGCTGCCTGCTGTGGTGCCGTATCTACAACACATAACGACATTATTGTCTCACGTTGCAGGCTGCCTGCCTTGATGTCGTATCTACAACAGATAACAACATTGATGTCTCGCGTTACAGGCTGCCTGCCTTAGTGTCGTGTCCACAACACATAACACCATTAATGTCTCGCGTTATATGCAATAAGTTCAGATCTCAATCAATCGTCAGTTATGGAAAGATTGGGTTCCAAAGAAAGATCGGTTCGTATGGAAAGATCGGGTTCTTCAGTAATGGAAAGATCGGGTTCCAAATTTTCGTTCAAAGATCCGGTACCCATGTGAATCAAGTCACAAAAAGTTCAAGAATCGGCAACAGGCCATGGGCCTATTTCTTCAGTTCCGACACTTCTATTCTATTCTGTTCTATTCTATTCTATTCTGTTCTATTCTATTCTATTCTATTCTATTCTATTCTATTCTATTCTATTCTATTCTACAGGCTGCCTGCCGTGGTGGTGTACGACAGCGCTGCTGTGAGCAGCGAGATGCACGACCCTGCCACGGCCGTGCTCTACTACAGGCCCCGACTCTCTGCTGCTGCGTCGCCTGCTGCAGGTAACAATACGCGGTGTTGTGTCTAGTGTGTAACGTGTTTATATAGTTTATTACTTGCATAAGGAATTTATGTATATTGAGTATGTATAATGTGAGTAAACAATGTATACATACTCAAACAATGTATATATGTGCTGTGTAAACAATGATGTGTGTAGAATGAGTATCTATATTTTCTTATCGACTAGGTACTGACGTGTTGGTCTACTGATTGTTCCTGCCCGTGAATGTATGCAATTTTGGGCTTATATATGATTGCTGCATGTGTGGGTGCCCGTACGTAAAATATTCGTCGCAAGCGTTTTCGTTTTTTTTTCTTTTTGGCTGTGTAAGTTTGTGTGCAGTGTGTGTAAATCTGTGTATTTCGTTTGTGAGATAAATGTGTCTAAACCATGTGACGAGGTTGTATGTTTGTGCATGAATATGTTTCAACTGCATGCATGGTGTTTTGTTTGGCGCATAAGTGTCTGGTGTGGACCTGCGCCGTCGAATGTACAGTGCGGTGTCAACCGTTTGTTGCGTGAACATTAATATGCATGTTATTAATGTCAGTTACGTGTGGTCCTTCAGTGGCTTTCTCTGTTTGCCTCTGTGCAATCTTGGTCATTTCGAAGGCGTAGAACTCGAGTTCACCTCATTGAGGTGAAATGCTTGCTTTAGGCGTTTTACTGAGATGTATTACTTGTGTGATGAGGTGTGTGATATGAGAGACGTTAAGAGAGACGTATTACTAGTGTGATGAGGTGTACGATATGAGAGACGTATTACTAGTGTGATGAGGTGTGTGATATGAGAGACGTATTACTAGTGCGATGAGGTGTGTGATATGAGAGACGTATTACTAGTGTGATGAGGTGTACGATATGAGAGACGTATTACTAGTGTGATGAGGTGTACGATATGAGAGACGTATTACTAGTGTGATGAGGTATGCGATAAGAGAGATGTATTACTAGTGTGATGAGGTGTGTGATATGAGAGACGTATTATTAGTGCGATGAGGTGTGTGATATGAGAGACGTATTACTAGTGCGATGAGGTGTGTGATATGAGAGACGTATTACTAGGGTGATGAGGTGTGTGATATGAGAGACGTATTACTTGTGTGATGAAGTGTGTGATATGAGACGAGGTGTTCGATCGTGCCACGTGGCTGTATCAACGTACGCCTTCGTTTATTTTTGCCACGTCCGTTCAAGGTTTTGTCTCAAGGTCCCTCACTATCTTGTCACGTTATGTGGCAAGTCAAGGATCTGAATTGCAGTTGACCGCCACTATTGCGATCTTTGTAAGCAGTGCTTCAATGATGACTTACTTTTTGCTCTTGCCTTTTGCGACATGAATGTCATTATAATTTACACCATTGAATTTCTACTTCATTGTTTTTATATCCTCATTTCGGTGGTAACCTAAATGTGGGGTAACATTAAATTGCCGTCGAACAAACCTTATCAACCGTTGTCGTGTGTAAACCACTTTTTATTGTAGGTAATGATAAATATTAGGCAACAAATGAGCCTTGATAAATTCTCAGCAGTTCTTCATTAGCTATTTGTAATTTATATTTGGAGGAATTTGTAAAACTTTGAAACGTTAAAAATTATACAAAAAAAAAATTATTATACCCTGTATACAAGTATCATCTTAGCTGTTAATGATAAGATCCTTAAGGCCTTACAGGGAGCAAGCATGTCTTTCGTACCTTAGCTTAGGCGCGACGTTTTGTTTCGTATTCCCTATGCGCAGAGGTGGGCAGTAGCGCGCTATGTAGCGGCCGCTACATTTTCAGTAGCGGTAGCGGTAGCGGCGCTACATTTAAGCAACTGTAGCGGTAGCGGTAGCGCCCGCTACGTTTAGAGCATGTAGCGGTAGCGGTGGCGGCAGCTACATTTCAAAGTAGCGCTGCCCAGCTCTGCCTATGCGTTACTCTGTAGTCTGTACTGACGACCTCGTGCCTTGACATGAGTGCTGCTGTGACGCCATGCATTGGCACGTACTATTCATTGATACGCGGAAGTTGACTTCTGCACCACTATTGATGAATACGTTTGGTTAACTGTAATGTATGACATCAATTCGTATTGTTAGGCGCTTGACAAAATTAATCGATTACAGAATATTATGAAACCTAAATCATTTGTACGCATTAATTAACCTGAAAGCTTACACAACATTGTTTAAATATAAAAATAAAAACACATCGGTACATGTAAAAAAAATTCAACAAAGTTTCAAATTTTCAATCCAGATTTAGCTTGAATTCCGTGCTTGTCGGAACTCGGATTTTGCCGCTCGTGATGAATCATGGGATATTCACGAGCTAAAGGGGAGCTATGCTAACGATGGCAGACATCGTTATCGCTGTTTATTGTGGTGAGGGGAGAGCTCGTATATTGTTGCTGCACCAACAATAAAAAAATATGACTCAGTACTCACTGCAGTGAGTGACAGAGAGCGCATTTTCTCGTCTACGAAAACTTGAGGTCACGGACAGACGGACAGACAGACAGACACACAGGCAGGCAGACAGACAGACAGACAGACGGACATGGCGAGCACAAAAGTGTATTTTTTCCATAAATGAGAAAATGCGCTAAAAATTTATATTGCAACCTCGACGCATTTCATGCATTCGTTACTGCAGTATGCATTTTTTGACGATTTTTATGGGGGTTCGTAGCCTCAAAATTAGAACGGAGAATTCGTGATTACTTTAACCGATTACATCTCGTAATTTGGCCACGCATTTATAGTGCGCTTGACACTGAAATATCTTGTGTTTGACTATGCGTATAGCAAGGAGAGGCAAGTGGAGCAATAAATGTAAGCAAAAGTGCACCTTATACAGCACTGAGTTGATAGTCAACGTCCGACGAGGAGAAAAATATGCCTTCTAACTCGTCCGGCTACTATCATAAAAAATGTCTCATTTATGTCAACAAGGTTATCATTAGGTATGTTAACATCGACACCGCACAGAATATCGGGAAGCAAAATATAGTACTTTAAACTCCTGCATCTGATAGCCTATTGCATGTTTTTAGTTCAATTCGCGTGTTCGGGATTTTTCATTTTCTGAAGTAAATGATGTCGTGGGTAGAGTTAAAGTTTATTCTGAATCCTTTAATGTATGTTCCGCTGAGAAAATTTTAAGAGAACTTTCCGGAGGAATTGCCTTTTACGCTCACGTAAACTTATAAAACATTCATAAAAGTCCTCCATATCCATGCACAAGCTACTTCCTGACGAGCTTCACTCGAATTTCCCCCATAAAGGACTGTACCTATGTTTCGGACCTGATAACCTCGCATGTCCTCGGCGTTGAGTTCTTATTATTTGTACCTTATAGCCTCGTATGTCCCCTCCCCGTTCATTCCTGTATGTTTCGGACCTGATAGCCTCGTATGTCCCCTCCCGTTCAGTTCTGAATGTTTCGGACCAGATAGCCTCGTGTGTCCCCTCCTCGTTCATTCTTGTATGTTTCGGACCAGATAGCCTCGCATGTCCCCTCCCGTTCAGTTCTGAATGTTTCGGACCAGATAGCTTCGCATGTCCCCTCCCGTTCAGTTCTGAATGTTTTGGACCTGATAGCCTCGCGCGTCCCCTCCGTTCAAGTCTGAATGTCTCGGACCAGATAACCTAGCGTGTTGCCCAGAGCTAGATGCTTTACCCTGTGTCCAGCTTACCTTATATGTCATGGACCACGTCGGTTCGACTGCATCGCTTACCATTGTGCTACTATGCGCAAGCCTCTGCAGGGAATCAACCCACATACCTCGTGTCGTGTCCCCCACAGGTCGTGCAGTGAATCAACCCACTTACCTCGTGTCGTGTCCCCCGCAGGTCGTGCAGTGAATCAACCCACTTACCTCGTGTCGTGTCCCCTGTGTCGTGTCCCCGCAGGTCGTGCAGTGAATCAACCCACTTACCTCGCGTCGTGTCCCCCGCAGGTCGGGATGCCGTTGACCCCGTAAGTGTACGCACGGCGTTGGCAGGGCAGCTCGTCGGCGCCCTTACGTTCGCCTCCTCCTGCTTCGGCGCCGTCAGGAGGCTGCGGCTCAGACGTTCCTGCGTTGCAGTCAACACTCAGGGGCGCTTCGTGCTGGTGAGTAACTAACGTTAAGAATTGGTACTATTATCTGATTTTTATTACGCATAATTCGTTTTGAGTGTTAAGGGATTGTGGTATCTGCTGCCTCCGTTGTTTAGAAATCCTGCTGTTTTGATAGGATTGGACTGTTATTGTGAATATTCTTTTGATTTGATTGATTGCGGGTTTTTTCATGATTATAACTTAAACTATGACAAATGGCTGCCAGTCTCACTGTTTCGATTGCTTAATTGTGATGATTCGCTGTTTCGTCTCTACGGGATTCTTTATGCTTTCACTGATTTTAATTCCTTTTCTTATCAACTCAAGCACTCCACTTGTAAAACCTAGCCCTCTTCTGATTGCTATTGATTTTCACTGTCTTTATTGTTTTCCACTCGTATTGTTCCGAGTTTTGTGCTTCATTCGATCTTAGTAGTCTATGGTTCGTTTCAATTGAAGCTAACAATGAGATGGAGATGGTGCTAACAATGAGACGGAGATTGTGCTAACAATGAGGCGGAGATGGTGCTAACTATGACACGGAGATGGGGCTAACTATGACACGGAGATGGGGCTAACAATGAGACGGAGATGGCGCTAATAATGAAACCTGTGTGCAGATGGTGTGTGGCCACAGTGCCACGTGGGCTGAGGCTCGTCTCGCCAGCCTCACCAGCCTCGTCAACGCTGCCACAGGAGGCTTGCTGCAGCTGTGGCAAGACTGTGGCAGAGACCGCGATGTCTTCGCTCTCAGGTCCCTTACTAGGACTTGCGAGGCCCTTACTAAGACTTGCGAGGCCCTTACTAAGACTTGCGAGGCTCTTACTAAGACTTGCAAGGCTCTTACTGAGACTTGCGAGGCTCTTACTAAGACTTGCAAGGCTCTTACTGAGACTTGCGAGGCTCTTACTAAGACTTGCGAGGCTCTTACTACAACTTGTGTGAATTAATTTTATATCAAAACATGATGTGGTTGAGATAAGACTTGAGACACAACGCACTGCAATCTCGATCGACTGTATACATGTAGAATTATAAGATAATACGTATTCCAATGGAATGTATTGACAAAAGGGAAATTTTCAGCTAAGCTTAAAGTTGCACCGTTTTTTCAAACCCTTGAATGGTTACCTAAAAATACTTTTATTTGAACATGTTATGCGAAAGAAATACATGAATCCTTTTTCTTTTCGAGGATATTCTTCCTAAAAACTACTTCTTGTATTGAATTAATAATGAACAATTGAATTCTTAAGTTAAAAATTGTCCACATAACGGACCACCGCGTCCGTTATGTTGACATGTTCTTGTTCATTATGTTCTTGTTCATTATGTTCTTGTTAAATCTTATTTATTATAATATTTATAGACTGGAGGGCATGCTGGACGCCATGGTCGACAGCGTCTTCCCTGACGTCAACTTTAACGATGCCCTGCCGACGTCAGCAAGCGGCGACTCGTCGTCAGCTACACCCACGGTGCTGTCCCCCTTCAGCGAGTTCAGCAACGCGTCGTCAGCAAACCTGTCGCCGAGAGGAGGCCATGTCAGCAATCAGATGTCAGCTGACAAGAAGAATAATTATTCGACTGAAGGCCACCATGTCAGCAATCAAATGTCAGCTGACAAGAAAAATAATTATTCGACTGAGTCGTCAGCAAACCTCTCGCCGAGAGGAGTCCGCGTCAGCAATCAGATGTCAGCTGACAAGAGAAATAATTATTCAAATTATTCGACTGATGGTCAGCCTCCACACTGTCAGCTGAGTGCAGAAGAGAGGCTACACGCGCTGCTGGAGGTCGCTCCCTCCCTGCAGATGGCTAAGGTCTGAAGTCGCTCAATGCTATACAATTTACTAATTTATTACTGATTAATTGTCGCTAATTATTACTGATTAATCGTCGCTAATTATTACTACTACTGACTACTGATTACTGATTAATCGTCGTTAATTTATTACTGATTAATTGTCGCTAATTATTACTACTACTGATTACTGATTAATCGTCGCTAATTATTACTACTACTGACTACTGATTACTGATTAATCGTCGTTAATTTATTACTGATTAATCGTCGCTAATTATTACTACTACTGATTACTGATTAATCGTTGTTAATTTGTTAATGATTAATTGTCGCTAATTAGTACTTATTACTACTGATTGCTGATTAATCGTCGCTAATTTTTTATTGATAAATCTAGTTCAGTACGACTCTATGTAATTTTTTCAAATTTTATTTTCGTGATTTGATTAAAGCGAAACATTATTTGAAAATTCATTTGTTCATAGTTAAGATAAGTAATTAAAATAGTGCAATCATTTTGAGAATGCATTTTGTCCCTTATGTTCAAGGTAAATACTCTCATTCTTCTCCTAATTCTGTCTTACTGTTACTTCTATTTTCCTTATACTGTTTTCACACCATATTTCTCTCTTCTAATATAACGATAATATTCTAATCAAAGCTATAACATGTATCATTCATGATTAGTCTTTAATACGATCGATTATGAAACTGGTCCAAATCTCTATCCCAAAATTTTCCTGTAGCCACGAAATTTTTATAGAATTTTTTCAGTAACGAATAAAGTGCTGGTAAATGGGTATTTTAAAATCTGTGTTGTCACAAATCACAGTTATTTGCGCATGGAATAATTGCAGTTAAATAAATCATTTATCATTACAATGATAAATTCTATTGAGAATAATTTTTTGGCACAATATGGGCAATAAAGGTTGCATACCGATCTGCTTGCCTTCAGTCGTACGTCAGACTAATTTGCCTGCCGATGTGGCTTATGATTTTGGCCTTCTACGTTTGTAACTGGCCTTCCAACGATGTCTATGTGCGAGTTTACTATGTAATCAAGCAAATAATGTTACCGTATAGTACTAATTCGACTGGGAATATGTGTATAAAAATACAATTGTTATATACAAAATTCCAGTTTTCGATTCCTGTAAGAAATGCCAAGTTTAAACAATCATATGAGCTGTATTACTGTCTAGAGTAGAAGAGTAGAATGTGAATACAGTTTACGATGATACGTCTAATGTATATCATGTTAATTGCTTGTTTTCTCTTTTAATTAAACAAATCCCTACAAAAAAACTGTGTATATAATATATAAAATATAAAATATTTATGCGCCACAGAGCGGCTTGTGCGGCGTATACCTGGAGAGCCTGCGCTGCATAGAAGCCTGCGTGCAGCACCGGGGCGTCCTAGCCGGCCTGTCCCTGCACCGTCACAGGTAAGCAGCTCCCAGCACCGGGGCGTCCTAGCCGGCCTGTCCCTGCACCGGCACAGGTAAGCAGCTCCCAGCACCGGGGCGTCCTAGCCGGCCTGTCCCTGCACCGGCACAGGTAAGCAGCTCCCAGCACCGAGGCGTCCTAGCCGGCCTGTCCCTGCACCGGCACAGGTAAGCAGCTCCCAGCACCGGGGCGTCCTAGCCGGCCTGTCCCTGCACCATCACAGGTAAGCAGCTCCCAGCACCGGGGCGTCCTAGCCGGCCTGTCCCTGCACCGTCACAGGTAAGCAGCTCCCAGCACCGAGGCGTCCTAGCCGGCCTGTCCCTGCACCATCACAGGTAAGCAGCTCCCAGCACAGGGGCGTCCTAGCCGGCCTGTATAATTAATATTTAATTAATTAATGTCTGAGTAGAATTGATGGAAAAACTGTAATGTATTTTCGATCGATTTTCTATATTGTCGTGAAATACAACCAAGTGTTATGAATCGAATGCTTCATTTATCCATTCAATTCACTGCATTAAATTTGAAAAATGAAGCCAATTAGTACTGAATACTATCTAAATAACGTAGATCATCTACATTTGGGGGGATTTGTTGTCAGAAAAAGAATGCATTTTTTAAATAATTTTTAATAATTCTTAACATCTTCATTGTTGTCAGAAAAAGAATGATTTTTTTAAATAATGTGTAATTATTTTTAATCTTTCCAATTTTTTCTTTATATTGTAATTTGTAATAATTTTTAATATCTTTAATTTCTTTATATTGTGAACTGAGGCCAACAAATTACTGATAATTACTGTCCCGCCTACAGGGTTGTGAGTAGCTTGTTGGAGGGAGACATGTCACGCCTCATCACCAGCCTCGTCACCAGCCTCAGCCTCACCAACGCCACCAACAGTGGGTGAGTGCACCAGCCTCAGCCTCACCAACGCCACCAACAGTGGGTGAGTGCACCAGCCTCAGCCTCACCAGCACCACCAACAGTGGGTGAGTGCACCAGCCTCAGCCTCACCAGCACCACCAACAGTGGGTGAGTGCACCAGCCTCAGCCTCACTAGCGTCACCAACAGTGGGTGAGTGCACCAGCCTCAGCCTCACCAGCGCCGCCAACAGTGGGTGAGTGCACCAGCCTCAGCCTCACCAACGTCACCAACAGTGGGTGAGTGCACCAGCCTCAGCCTCACCAGCGTCACCAACATTAGGGTTGGTGCATTATTATCACCCAAGTGCAGAGTTTTGAATAAAGGCTCTTGTATTGGCCCAATGCATTTAAAATTTTCATTCAAAATTCTAGAGTTCTATTGAAAAAAAAAATAATGAAACGTTTTCTTTTCATAGAAGTCATTTATACATGATGGTGCCACAGATATCAAATTCTAAAGGATGGAACAGTAAAAAAGACCGTAAAGAAATGAAAAATTAAATTTTTAAATTTTTCTTAAGATTTCAATGTAAATGCACTTCATGTTTCTATAAAATCATTATCCACATTAGTGTTGCAGTCATGAACTACATGCACCAGTGGCGTCAACTGCAATATGCATGACGGATGTATCGTGAATGCGATGACTAAGCATTCTTCTCACTGCATAACTTATTGGCATGACGGATGTAGTGGAAGTGATGACTAAGCATTCTTCTCATAGCATAACGCGTTATTCATATGACGAATGTAGTAGAAGAGATGACTAAGCATTCTTCTCACTGCATAACTTATTGGCATGACGGATGTCGTGGATGTGATGACTAAGCATTCTTCTCACTGCATAACTTATTGGCATGACGTGCATGTCAGTTAAGACCACGAGGAGCCTGACGAAGCACTCACTGCCGACGGTGTTGCAGATGCCAGTCCCCTGAGGCGGACAGTTTGGAGGCTCCTGTTCGACCAAGTCCCCCCGCTGGGGGTCTGAAGCCCCTGGATGAGGACTACCCGCTGCCCCATGGAGTAACTCTGCACGCTCTGTACGTGCAGCAGCACCAGTACCGCTCCATGGTTCAGCAGCAGCAGAAGGTAGTTGAAGCTTTGGTAGTTCTTAATTTCTTTTGCTGTATTGGTGCTGCAGTTCATTTGCATTAGCTTTGATTTGTCTCGTGGAAGAAATTGAACTGAACTCGGCTATATCCTGTCTTATTTGCAAAATTAATGGAAAGGATCATCTTTTCATCGTGAATTTTGACTTTTTTAGCGCATTCTCTCATTTATGGAAAAAATGCACTATTGTGCTCGTCATGTCTGTCCGTCTGTCCGTCCGTCCGTGACCTCAAGTTTTCGTCGACGAGAAAATGCGCATTCTGTCACTCATGAGTACTGAGTTATATTTTTTCTTTAATATTGTCGTTGTCAATACATTTATTTACGGCCCAGTATGTTTCACTAGCGCTTCTCTCGTGACAGTACGTGGACTCGCGATACCGTGAGCGGGCCCGCGGCAGTCTGCACAACACCAACTCTTCCATGGACCTCACGACGCTGCGCAAAGTATTGCTCGAACATCAATCTCTTCACAACTACCCTGCCTCTCTACCAGGCCTCCAACCTTCCGACGATCCATACGATCACTACAGCATATCTCAGTCCTCTAATTTCCACAGCATGAACAACAACGACGCTTCTTTATCGTCTCTAGTCCCACCAACCTTAGATCCATTGCAGTTGTGCGCCAAAATCAGCAAAAATCAGGGCTTGCTGAACAGTGATGGACGTCCTTCTCAGTCGTTGCCTGGAACTCCACGTAAAATTAGGGTGGCTACGATGCTGCCGGATGTCGGCAATAACTCCCCCGATCTAAGGTAAGATACCTCTGATTTGGAATTATTTAATCACTAATGAATTCTGAACGTAATGCTGATATTTCGCGGACTCGAAAATTTACGGAAATCTAAAGATGAATCTGCTCCCACGAAAAATTGATTGGTGCTAATTAAAACTAATTCGAAGGTGGAATTTGTTCATCAAGTCATCATAATATGGTCTCTGTGTTGTTATGGAACCGTAAAATTATCAACTACGTTGATAGCTCGTAAGTAGTGTATAGTACTATTCCGTTTAGTTTATACGGAAAGTAAAGTTATTGCTTGACGGGTGGAGACACGTTTTCACAATGCAAATCATTTGAGGATTTATGGAACTTACTTTTCTTTTAATACAAGATATTTTATAATACCCTCGAATTATCGAGTGTCGACGTGTATAAACCGCATGATCGGAGTAAATATATCATCGCACATCGGTAAATATTTCATTGACTTATACATCACCTCAGACCAATAGCCCTACTTAATCAAATTATTAACTTACATGGCTGAAATACTGCAAAATGAAAACGCCTCCTGTTATATAATGATTAACTTTTTTTGCAGGTACAAAGTTCTGAATGCTAAGCGAAACATTAAAGCGGGAGGCGTCTCGTCCTCGAACACACCTCGTCACAGCAATAACAACCGAGGGCTACCAAGGAAGCCATACGCTATACCCGGGGCACAGTATCCTCCGTATTCCAGTCCATTCTGTGACCCATACGAAAATGCCGATGACTACCCAACGTCAACCCCAATCAGTGGAGTGACCACCTTACCGCGCAAGACTTCAAAGCTGTCGCCTCCTTCTCTATCCCTGTCTTATGATAGTGAGAAAGACAACAAATACAGTAGAAGTTATAACAGTAGCCAAGACTGCTCGGGCTTGGATTTTGGTCAACATACATTTAGCCATAAAAATGGTTCAAAGTCGAGGTTTTCTGTCAAAAGTGGGGATTCTGGCTTTGAAGAAATGGCCAAGGGAGAGGTTGAAATGAATCTTAAAAATACCAAGAATAAGCTTAACCTGCAGTTCGCTCCTGACAAAATTCATCGCCCTGATCCCATCGATGATGGCAGTTCCGATGTCTCTTCCGGGACGTCTGAAATCAAAATCGCAAAAGAAATTAACGGCAATATTAGAAAGAAGAGACCAACAGTAAAAATATCCAGTGAATCTAAGTCCGAGCTACTAAACCACCTCGACAAAGTTGATGATGAAGACGATTCTTCTAGAAGCGATTCTGAAATTAGCGTCCTGGAGCTTAGCGCGTTCATTGATCCCAAGGAGAATGACAAAGAACTCGAGTTTTTCATCGGCGACAGAAAAACCGACGATGAAATAACCGATGGGCAATCTAACCGGGACGAGAACGGTGTGTGAAAGATCAGTTATTAAACTATTTTGGACTTATAATTTTAGTCTCCTGACGACATACTTAAAATTCATGCAATTACTCCCTAATTAATTCTGTTAAGCTCTAGATTTCTATTTCTCACAGAATGCAAATTTACTGTGTGCCCGGAATCAGTAAAATATTTTATGTGTAATATTTATACTTTTTGGTAAAGGGGGGATTTCCCTTTAATCATCTAACCATTATTCACTTGTGTTACAGATATAGGAGGAAGTCAGCCTGTAGTAATAGTGTCAGACACAACAGCTGACTGTGGTGGTGCCAGTGAAAGTGACACAAGTCCTGACGTCAGTCCTGATGCTCCTTCGTCAAAGTACCGACGCGCCAGCCTGTACACGCAGTCTCTCGACGACTGCCACCTCTGCCTCCTGCTCGACGAAGACGCAGCTAAGGACGCTGGGCTCGTTTATGCGCTGGTGAGAGCGTTTTGTTATTAACGTATTAACGTATTATTAGCGTATTAACGTATTAACGTGCTTTATTAACGTACTTTTGTTGGTGCTTTATTAACGTACTTTGAAGTGTTTGATCATTCATTGCAAAAATATTTAAAATCAAGCCGAAATAATTTCTGGGTTTCGGTTGCATTGATATTGGAGATCACGCTAATGCATCCGCTTAGTCAGACCGTTTCGTTGCCTCCAAATTGGGCACTTGGCCTACATGTTTAATATTAATGATAAAAAATACAGTTGGTTGACAGCTTTTACTTGTGCAACGACGGTGTTTTACTTACAAGTACCAAAAAGCACTGTTGCAAGTTTATCAACTAAAAATACAACTCTAGCAGATAGAGGCTCTGGATGATGTCTTCCATTTAAAGTTTCGTTTGCAGATCTTGAAATTGGTTAGAATGTCTTTACAATGTAATAGGTTACTTTTGCAAATTGGTAGAAAGACTTGCAGTGTCAGGAACACCTCCCAAACTGATCTCTGTCAGAGTTGAAAGAAAAATCTGATTGTAAGTACAATTTTTCACTCGTGATGGCGAGGTTTTTGGGGGCTTTCGATTTACCTGAGGAAGCTCCAACACATGGTATTTATCGAATTTTCAATATTACGAACGGAATCGTATTTCTCAACATGTCGAACGGAACTTTTCTGGGCGTTCAAGGCCACAGCCGTATTTTATGTTTTATCTTAACAAATTTCTTCACATTGCGTTTTTTCATGAGCGAAACCAACTAACAATATACAATATGACTAAGTTCAAACACCAGCCGTTCTTCCTCTTTGCTGTTTCTCCATTTTAAACTATCGTCTTATGAAAAGCTATTCTCTCACATCTTAACTGAATAGTAACCGAAAAATTCGCGGGCAGTGGCCGTTCTACTTCCTCGTTGTTTCTCCATTTAAACCATTTTTTATAAAAAGCTAATCTTTCACATCTGAACTGAATATTAACCGAAAAATTCGCGGGCAGTGGCCGTTCTACCTCCTCGCTGTTTCTCCATTTTAAACCATTTTTTATAAAAATCTATTCTCTCACATCTGAACTGGATAGTAACCGGAAAATTCGCGGGCAGTGGCCGTTCTAGCTCCTCGTTGTTTCTCAATTTTAAACCATTTATTATAAAAATCTATTCTCTCACATCTGAACTGAATATTAACGTAAAATTTCACCCCTATCCTGGGCAGTGGGGAGTGGGTCAGTCCACCCTGCCGTCGCTGGCGACCCACATAGAGAGGGCCCTGGAGGTGAGCGCAAGCAGTCAGCAGAACGTGGTGGGCGGAGATGCTTTTGCCCGGCGCTTTGGCCCGACGCTGACGGTGGCCGAGGGCGAGGCGCTGCACCTCGACGTCGTCAGCAGCGTCCTGAAGCACGTCGAGCGACGTCGTGAGGTCCTGGAACTCACTCTCAGGTGAGAGGTCCTGGAACTCACTCTCAGGTGAGGTCCTGGAACTCACTCTCAGGTGAGGTACATTCTGTACGCCCAATTGTTTCTTTCTAATCCTCATTGTTTTCTTCTGCGGTGATTTCCTCGAAATAATTTGTGCATTTACCCGCAAGTTCTGTTTAAATCGCCCCTGATTTATAAATGTTTTTCCAACATCTGAGCTAATAAATCTATTGAGTCAAAATTTGTTACTATCTACAATTAATATTTATGGATTTATCTAATGGAGAACAGAATGTTATTCATTTTTAAATATTTTAATCTAATGAGGAACAGAATCTTATTTATTTTAAATTTAACAAAACAGAATGCCATTCATTTTAAATTTTTACTCAAATGGAGAACATAATGCTGAGGTGCCTATTAATTTTTTAATATTCTCTAATTGTTTAATGTTATTAACTAGTGCATATTAATTTTAAATATTTTACTATAATGCAGAAATATTATTCATTTATAAGAATACCGAGATAAAGTTGCTAAGTAATAACACCCACGTGCAGGCAGCGCGAGTGCACGCTATGGTGCCACCGCCTGGGCTCTTCCCTCACCCTCTACCAACACTCTGGTCCCAGCAGAGCTGGCCCGCCCATACCTAGCGACCCTATGGCCAAACTACCACACCGCGCCCGACGAAGGCTTGAGCGCGACCACGCTATAACTCTACTTTAAAATATTACAATTATCTCATACTTTGCTATTAATGTTTCAAGTTTTACTCACAACTCATGATTGCATTTGACATTAGACTTTCGAACATGGAACGAACAGAGTTTAGATAAGTTATCTTTTTTGTTTGCTAGCTCTGCGGAACAACTCGATCTCTCATACATTTCTAATATTGATCATATTTAAAGTGATTATGGACAAATATTGCATATTACATATTCTCGAACATTTTCTAATAACAATACAATTTTTGTGAGATGTTGAGCACTTATGAAAATACGAAGTTTATCTTCGTACGCTCATAATAATTGTTCATAACTAAACTCAACGCCATCCTGACGAGTATACCGAAGATCATCATACGTCCTGTAGAATTAATGTCTCTACTCGCTTACTGTAACAAACTTACCCTCAACAAACTAAGCAGGCCTCAGATAACTTGGATACCAAGTTGTTGTTACTTACTTTTGTGAGCACTTCTGTTTAAAATCCATCAGTAAACTGCAATCAAACGTTTCTTTTAATTATTCTATTTAGATTTTTACGTAGTATCAAAACCATATATCTTCTATGCTGAACATTTCCTATTGTTGCAGTGGCTTAGGCAGCTGCTGAAAGCTTGCTTATTTGTGTGCTTTCCATCACTGTGCTTTGCTCACTGTGTTTTGTTATTAGTAAAAAATAATTTATCTGCACTGTTGTTATAGTTCTATATTCGCTGGTTTAACATAATTATGCTAAATTGAACCAGTTTCTGACTGATTTGTTTTGTTCTCTTTGAATGCAATGTAGATCGTTTGTCATAAACTCGTCACCGAAGTAACAACAATATAAATTCTTATGACGTCCCCACCCTTAAAAACTTCATCGTCTTTTAGTATTTGTTTGAATTGAGTGTGAGATAACGCCTATTTCATGCTGCAAGTTCAACTACTATTCTTCTGACCAATTCAAAATGGTTAGAACGCTCATGATTTACTCCATATAAAATCTAAAATCCTTCTTTGCCTCCACTTCAGCGTCTATTGAGTTTGAGATAACGCCTATTTCATGTTATTACTTCAACTACCTACTATTCTTCTGACCTATTCAAAATGGTTAGAACGCCCATGATTTATTCCATATAAAATCTAAACCCTTTATTTGCCTCCACTTCAGCGTGTATATTGAGTTTGAGATAACGCCTATTTCATGTTATTACTTCAACTACCTACTATTCTTCCGACCTATTCAAAATGGTTAGAACGCTCATGATTTATTCCCTATAAAATCTGAACCCTTTATTTGCCTCCACTTCAGCGTGTATATTGAGTTTGAGATAACGCCTATTTCATGTTATTACTTCAACTACCTACTATTCTTCCGACCTATTCAAAATGGTTAGAACGCTCATGATTTATTCCATATAAAATCTAAAATCCTTCTTTGCCTCCACTTCAGCGTCTCTGGAATCACCTCCTCTTGACGGTGATTTTCTTATGACCCACCGACTGACCAAATGCATTAATATTAAAATATTTATACTGGATATAATTAATACATAAATACGATGTTGGTCCTTTGATTCTGTATTTTTTTGAAAATGTATTAAGTGTATTGTGGAGGTCAGTTATAAAGTAGGATTTATATTAAGTCTCTGTAAGCTAGTTTCTGGTTCTTAGCTAAATCTGTGCTTAGAATAATTTAATACGTTTAGTAAAATTTTGATTAGAATGCCATCAATGTGATATGTATGAGGCGTGAATGTTTTAAATTAGTTCATCTTTGGGCGATTATGCCCGTGTTAAAAAAAATCCTTAAAAATTTTGTCCTGCTTTGTAGCAGTTTTAGTCGATATATAGATTTTTGCCCACCGAGATAAATCAATACGAAACTTTGATACTAAATTTGATATTGAAGTTTTTCGGCTGATCGTCTGTGGATCGTTTTTGTAAAGAACTATTCCTGGTAACAACAAAGGGGAAGCTATAACCTAAGATCAAAATAGAACTCGCTAAATCAAGCATATTTCTTCGAATAAGTCCTAAGTTAAACGGTGTCAAATGTTGTGTTAATTTCAAAGTTGTTATATTACCGTTGCTTCACTGCTCGCGTATGCATTCACTTCAGTTGAGCATCAGTCGTAGGATTAGTACAGTGATTGTACAATATATTGTGTTCCGAGTGTCGTTATTCTACTTGATATGTAGATAGTTTTCTCGTGTAGTCTATATTTCATGATACAATATATTTAATATTTACTCATATTAGTCTTTAGAAGAAATTAATTTTCTTAGAACTCCACTACCCAATGGCTGATTACTAATTTTATAATTGTCAAACTTTTTTCATTATTCCATATTTCGTAGACCATCCTTTTTAGAATATAGCTCTCTTGTAGGCCACGTATAGATAGTCTCTATAATTCTTGATAGCAATGTTAGTCGTACTTAAATAGTTGAGTAATGTGTTCAGAGTCGCAGGAGTCGTCATTATATACGTCCTAGTGTATCCTCAGTACTGAGTCCCTCCAAGTGAGCTTAGAAAAGTTTTCTGATATGATGTCACTGATGCAGTCTAAGTGATGTGTCTGCATAAAGTCGCTTCTTTGGATATGCTGTTAAAGGTGCAGCCTCAAAGGCCCTTGAATATAATGATAATGTATTGATGTTTGGGGTATATTTTATCGTATTTATTCTAAAATTACAATCTTGGACCAATTAATTATCCCACGGAGAGCTTTTTGTAGGCGTGCGTCGGGAGTCTTCATTTGATATGTAATGTTTCTTGCGTCAATGATGTATTTGGGATGATCGATTCTTTTCAATTAAAATGCTAGACAAATTTCTAGTCGTGGACTAGCTAGTTGACGGAATAGAGACTAAACGCTCAGACTACATAAAAATTAGTGAATTTTCGTTCACGTTACTATTTCAAATGCCCGTATTAGAATGATGCAGAGAATTAGGTTCCCTACCCTGTCTCGTCTACAGCTCGATTATTAATGACAACTAAATTAAGGTTCATGTTTAAATTCATTATCAGGTGCAGTCAAGACATTTAATATCTTTAATATCATATCTCTGCAGTCAAGATATTTAATGTGTACAGATGAAAAATTTGGGTAGCCATTACAAAAAAGAACGAGCATCATTGAAGCGATGCAGGTTCGTCATACTTATGAATAGTTTTCTTTGTGCTTCTAACTGCCAGCTTAGCAGTTGTTGTAAGCTATAATGTACTAGACTCTCCCGCGCGTCCAAGGCCCAACCTGGTGTATCAACGATGCCAATTGTTGTTGCAGACACAATCCTGTGCCAGCGATTGCCAGAAATATTGCAGCAATCGTTGCCACGGAAGGCGTTGCCAGAAATATTGCAGCAATCGTAGTTACGCAAGGCGTTGCCAGAAATATTGCAGCAGTTGCCGTGCCAGCTGTTGCCAGAAACATTGCAGCAGTTGCTACGCCAGGCGTTGCCAGAAATATTGCAGCAATCGTAGTTACGCAAGGCGTTGCCAGAAACATTACAGCAGTTGCCACGCCAGGTGTTGCTAGCAATATTGCAGCAGTTGCCACGCCATGTGTTGCCAGAAATATTGCAGCAGATGTAGTTACGCAAGGTATTGCAAGGAAATATTGCAGCAGTTGCCACGCCAGGTGTTGCCAGGAACATTGCAGCAGTTGCCACGCCAGGTGTTGCCAGAAACATTGCAGCAGTTGCCACGCCAGGTGTTGCCAGAAACATTGCAGCAGTTGCCACGCCATGTGTTGCCTCGTCTTCCTAGACCTGCTCTTCAGGCCGCGATGGTGCTAGCGCCCTACGGCCGGTCGAGCTCCACCCTTTTCAGGCGCCTTCCGTCCCTTACGGAAATTCTCCGCTTCTGCCACGAAGCAAATTTATCTCTATGATGAACATGCCCCTTGAAAACGTACATTCCATTGCTCTAAAACCTTTATCTCTATGATGAACATGCCCCCTTGAAAACGTACATTCCATTGCTCTAAAACCTAAGCTTATCTTCGGTTCTGAATCTTTGTGACCAATGAGACCAATTTTTTACGTGATTAGATTTCTGTTAGCACAGGTTTTCTGCGTAAGGCGAATGATTCGCCGAAGAAATAAATTTTTAGGGTTATAGCTCATCAAGCTTCGGCACAGTGTTCAGCTTGAATATTGTTTTAATTCGCATAATAGAACACTATTTTTCCAACTCAGTTCCTTAATTCCTTGATAATATTGTCACTTGAGCTTTTCCCGCACCATTTATTAAAAATTGCGATATCTTAAGCAGCCCATCAGCTATCAGCTTCGTAGAGAACTTGAAAAAATTATCTACGAAGCGAACCTTCTATACGTCATTAAGAACAGTTTTTCGACGAGTGCATCAGTAAGAAAATTTCCCGACCAGTTACTTATCTGTAGAAAATGTAATATATTTTGATTCAGGTACCTTAGGTACATAGTTTTTATGCTATAACAGTGAAGTAATAATCTAGTTTATCATTATTATCTTAAATCTTATTTATTGTGCTTTCAAAGTTTATCAGACTCAATAGCAAGAATTAGTTGAATTTAGTTTTGTCGCTTCCTAACTCAACTCAAACCGCTGGGGCTATTAAGGCATAAATGAGAAGTTGCTCGATTAAATGTCCATGTTGACAGGAATATCGTTAGAATTAGTAGTTGGTATTAAGTAGTTACATTTTTGTTTATATACGGTTTGTAAATATATCATAGTTTCATGTTGAATGCGCATAAATCGTGTGATCTTCTGAAGAATAAATAGTACGTGCTGGCGGTTTTTTACTTACCCTCTGGACATCGTTTTGGCCTGGGGCCATACTTTAAAAACTCGCTAAGTGAACGTAAGTACTTACGCTCTATTTTCTTGTCTATGATTGGTGGATTTTGCTTGAAAGGCCGTCAATGAATGGCTGATGAACTTACGATCTCTTAACTTTTTTGAAAGTATGGCCCTGTAGCGGCCCTCTTCCGATGTCTGTTATCCATGTTACGTCGCCTGTGATGACACGGCTCGAAAAAATTAGCAATAATTTGTTCCCCTTATTAATGCATCGTTCCAGAAAAATCAATGTACTGGCCAAACGTTTAATTTTGTGCTCTTTGATCAGCATTGCTTAGAAACAACCCGAACACAACTTCTGATAATTCGAACTATAATTTTCCACTCATGAAGTTACTCTGTCAAGCTTTATGACATGAATCACATTAGCTTATTAATTCCATTAAAACTCATTTAATAATTTTCAGGTAATTAAAGAATGAGCCTCGAAGTTTTTGCCGTACCTCATATTATGGACGCTACTGAATTTTAAATAGGAAAGGAATAAAATATCAAGCAAGTTGTTCTTTTTCCAGTGTATTGGTCACTCACTAATTGATTATATAATTAATGAAAATACATTAAACGTGAAATGAATTAATATTAGAAATTGATGATGGGAATAGACTGAGAGTACGATTATAATTCATGTAATAATAAAGTGTACGAACAAATTAAAGGTCGAATACGATAAGTTAACAACTATTGGGCATACTAGAACAATTTATGTTTCAGCCTAAAGCGAAATGAAGAGATCACTAAGCGCAATATTGAACATTTTATCAGCCTGAGATCATACAAATAAATGAAATAATAAACTGAATACTGGTTGGTTTTCAAAACATACTTGCACTACTTGCTTTGATTACCCAATGCACTCCGATGGATCACGGAATAAAGAGAACACACTACAAATGAATTAAAATAATGAACAATGAGTCATAAATATTATACATCGTAAGCTTATACTTGAATGGGACAAGAAATAGAGTGTCAAGAACGAGTAAATGATGAGTACAAGGCACATCTATGAAATAACGAATCGTCGGCTCCTAGGAAACAGGTGTTATAGCATAATGAAACATATTGCAAATGCTTGAACTTGTTTCAAAATATTAATTTGAATTAGTTTCAGACTAAAGATTCTGATACGTCAAGTCAATCCTAAAAGTTCTTGACCATCATAAACACATTTATTTTTTTTCGTGACTTTAACACTTGTCGGAAGGTATAGGTACAACTGTGCCAACTTTTGTTACGATCCGAACGTAGTAAAATTATGCTATGAGACAATGGTCAAGGGACTCTCAGTAATAGACGCAGGACAACAGGGCCTATACTTTCAAAAAAAGTTAAGACATCGTAAGTCATCAGCCAATCATTGACGGCCATTCAAGCCTAATCCACCAATCACAGACAAGAAAATAGAGCGTAAGTATTTACGTTCACTTAGCGAGTTTTGAAAGTATGGCCCCAGATCTATCCCAACGTCTGTTATATTCGAGTTATACTCCGCGTCTGACCGTCCTGCGAGTCAATTTTGTACAAATTTATTTAACCGCTTGTTAACACGCGAGATATTGATGGCCGACTTTTCACTACATTTTACAGTAAACATGCACAGTTAATATCCGACCTGAAGTGATCAGAATTAATTGAAGTGGAAACCAAAAGAGTTAATGGACTTTGTTTTCACTCGTGTTAATTGGTGCTCTCGTGACAATCGATAAATACAGAAACGCCATAAAACTTCACAGGGGCGTCACTAGGTTTTGAGGATAAGAGAACACTTCTTTCGGTATTTACGATGTTATTTAAAGCTATTTAGGTGAACTTCAGACTATTTTAGGGGGCTGAAGCCCCTCTGAATTATACCTAGTGACGTTCCTTACACTCTGTAACTCATGTTAAGAGCTGCTACGATTGAGCTGGACACCTGCAAAAACAGTGATGTCCGCTCAGAAAATAATGCTAACATGGACCGAGACAGAATAGAAAGAACTAAATACGATTCTAGTATTTGTCGCCATTAAACACGGTTCGCTTAACTCGATGCACCAACGTGGACGATGTGCAAACATCCAAAAATCTTTACGTAACTTAGCGAGCAGTAAATCGATCCTTTCAAACAGTGTATTATTTAAAAGATTACAAATGGACATGGGTATAACTAGAAATAATACTGGAAAATAAATTAAAGTTTATTTCGACGTTTAAGCTCGCGGCGTGAGCTGGACACCGTAGAATGATTACATCTTCAACAAGCTGATGGACTCGAACTTCCGTCGTCATAGTAACGTTAATGTAAGTAACAATTGCATCAAACACCTTCAAACTTCTGTGAAGCCAAACACACTGAGTAACACATGGTGATTACCAAAAATCTAAAGGGATTAAAACACTACCAAGACATGATCCGGCTGGATGACAACCACGTTCAAAGCAAGTGCATACGTCGGAAACAGGATTAGTCATAACTCGAGGTTAGAGCAAATTATTTTGCAGTGCATTAAAGAACTATTACTAATAACAGTGAACAATTATTCAAGTTTCAAGCAAATAACTTCCCGTATTCAATTGGAGTTTTCAAGAGATAAGTCTGGTTCTTTGCCCCCCCCCCCCCTCGTCATTTTGTCAACTATCTATAGATTGCACCCCAGACCGTTTTACGCAGCAAGACCCTACCCAGTCAAATTTTGGAGTCAGCTTTCGGACGTTTAATAAAACGGTTGTAACTCTAGCCTTAGATGTGAATTAGGCTTGAAACGGCCATTTTCCTGTATTCGACTGTTATTTAGGAGCCATTTGTGGAAATTGATTGCCCGATGAGCCGAATCTGCGTAATATAACCGAAAAAAAAGCTGGTCAAGCTGATTCATGATAGCCTGGTCAGCCTCTGGTATAAGGGCGAACCATGACCATCTCCCGCTCATGGAATAGCGTGCCCACATGCGTTTGTTAACTCATACGATGGATCAAGATGATGATTGACTTTATAACCCATTTTTAGAGCTTACGTGGTATGTAGTTAGTCCTTTCATTCCGTATACGACAAAAATATATTTTCGATGGAAAGATGCTTCTGTGATTATGTGTATTTTTCCATTGTAACATCAGGTTTGTTACCGGAGTGAAATCGAAGTGTCGTTAGGAATTGTGAAATTTTCTAAAAATTAAAAATTAGAAAATAAATTTATGAAATGGCCATCGAGCATGGCAATGCTGGAAAAGCAACATATTCCAACTGCAATTTCGACGATAGTAATATTTCTATTCCTACCGTAGTTAATAGACAGGTTTGTATAGATCCGTGCAAAACAGTTCGCTGAACGGAACTTACTAGTGACGTATCGTGAAATGACAAGTCGATATAAAATTATACCGGTATACTGGCTGTTATGCCCGCATGCGTGCGGAAATGGAATGTGAATGTTTGATGTTTGAAACCCGGTGAATGGAGGTGAATGTTTGATACCCGGAATGTAGATGAATGGGTAGAATAGGGCAATGCAAAAAGCAATGTATATAGCGAAATGCCTCCTTCCTTCCAACCAAAATTTTAGGGGGAAGAGAAGCGGGCATTTTTTACCGCACTTTTCAGATTCGGCCGTGTCCGTCCCGAAGGTATCAGGTACCAAATACTATACGAGCTCCCCGCACTCGCCCCACGGTAGTCAGGGAACAGACCAAATTCTAATCAGGCACTTGTTTTGCTTGTATGCCCAATCAGAGCGTGAAGCGGACATGAAACCGCTAATTTACGCTCAAATCGAGCTTGAGGCGTCCATAATTCAGAAGCTGACCAGCCCCTAATTCATGGGTAATAGCATGAATACTGTCGAACAGAAAATTGATCTCATCAAGGCTCCTGAGACTCGATTGTTTCGATTTAGTGGCATCTTATACGTTCCATAATTATGAAACTCTACAAAACATAACGAAATGCAATCAAACAAAAGACGATCCAGGATATTTCAGCCAACACCACACAACCCAGACCATTTCAATTCATGAGAGCCAATAATTGTCATTTCATGAAGGCCCTAAAGAACTCAATGCTACGAATGCAACAAATAATAAAGGGGTGAAATTTCATCAATAAAGGGGAGAAATTTCATCATTTTACGCTCACAGCACTTGAATTCTTCACTGAACAAAGCGTGCTCACACAGAGCACACGTGGCCGTCAAAACTCAGTCATACACCGGACAGTTGGTCTACCTTCCTTCTGTGTTCACTCGCCATTACAGAAGGTGCTAATACAAGGGCATTAAATGACCTCACAGCCTAAATAGGGACCTCATTTAGGTCCATAGGTCTGAGCATCATAGCCTAGGGACACCACAATGGTAGCAAATGCTCAAGATAGCAAAACGACAACTAATAAAGTAACTTTTAAGATGGCGCAGTGTGCCTTTTCCGTCCGTCTTCATCAATAATCACGGAGAAACAAACTTTTTTGAACACTAACAAACAACCACAGTAGCCAGGTCATGCAATTACCTACATCCACGCAACGAATTAAATTACCAAGAGTTACATGTATAACGAAGTAGTCATTTTTACCACCATGATGCCAAAGACCTCACCACGTCTTAACTGTCACCACAATTCTTCGAGCAGCTATCCTACAGATTGCACTGCTGTCGGGCGGTCTACCGAGTATTGAGGCATGCCCAGTACCACTGCTCGTATCCCGTATACCCTCTCGACGTCATGCTTAGAAGGAAAAAAATATAACTCCGTACTCACTGCAGTGAGTGACAGAGAGCGCATTTTCTCGTCGACGAAAACGTGAAGTCACGGACAGACAGACGGACGGACGGACGGACAGACAGACAGACGGACATGGCGAGCACAATAGTGCATTTTTTCCATAAATGAGAAAATGCGCTGAAAAGGATGTCCGTTATCCTCCTTACAACACATTTGCATTGATGATGATCGCCAGAGATACAGGATTGTACTGGAGAATTATATTTAATGTTTAACGAGCATTATTTTTAATTTTGCTGGCGGTTATTTAACGACTACGTGATAACTGGCTAGACTTAACTCGCTCGATCAACTTGTTAACCAATTTAAAATGAGGCTAAAATCATGTTATAACTTTCGCAATTGATGATCCGAATTGATGATTCGCAATTGATGATCCGAATTCGAATTGATGATTTTTTCGTTGATTTTTTCATTCATTGACTGATTTTTTCTGTCACTTCTATATGAGCCTCCAAAGTTTGAAAAATTTTCTTATGCAGGTTATTTAGCCCCTGTTGCGCCTAATAATTCATTGCTGTCAAACTCAATCAGTCCACGTCAATTAATCCACAGATCAAGTCCAATAAGTATTGATACTTTTCAATATCAAGGTGAGTAAACTTCCAGCTCACTGATCTCCAGAAAGCGATGATAGTCCGAATAGAGGACGTACTTGTAGACAGCGACGTAGCGGGCACAGCACGGCTGTGGCAGTTCAAACTCCTGCCACTGCACCACAGACGTCAGCGGTCCGGCCATGGTCGCTGCCACGTTGAACTTGCTGAAGTCGCCTTCTGACGCTGGCATTGCGGTTCCCAGGAGGATCTTGAGATGGACAAGACTTTTAATGTACAAGAAAAAAAATTTTGCCCAACCAAGGGAAAACTATGCAATATCATAAAACTGAAAAGAACTCGTACTATATAAATAATTGAAAAAAATTGGATCAGTACTCACTGCAGTGAGTGACAGATAGCGCATTTTCTCGGCCGTCCGTCCGTGAAGTCACGGACAGACCGACGGGCGGGCATAACGAGCACAATAGCGCCTTTTTTCCATAAAGGAGAAAATGCGCTAAAAATGAAAATAATAATCCAAGAGTAGCCAAGCATGCAATCAAATAAATAAACATACTCAGGCTCAAAAACATTCATACTAACTCGACTCAAATCCAACTCACTGCCATCATTCCTGAAGCCCAAATCTCCAGCTTCCCTATAGGCAGCAGAGGTTCGGTTCTATTCCTTCAAATCTTAAAAGGCAAGTTCTGACACTGACATTGCTTTCACGAACAGAGAATCGGGCAACGTCTTTAATTTCTTACCACCCACTACCAGAACCATGTATATAGGAGACAACACCGACTGTAGTCTCAGGACCCGATAGTAGGTGACCATCTTATATTTTATAGCCGAGCTTCATTAGCTCATGACCAAACAATCGATGTGCGACGAAGACGACCCTACGGAGATTCCAGTCACCTACTAATAAACAAGGACTTATGACGATGACCAAAAAAAGAGAAGAGTAAAAATACGGGCCGAAATTTACTAACAAATAAAATTTCATTCGCAATAACTAAAAAGCAATCGGTTTAGAACATGAACACAACTCGAACACTATGCCTATATACTGGGATTAGACATGTTAGGCTCTTACCGACCACACATCAACACAATCCCCCACGACATGTTTTAAGCCATGAGCCCCAACCCACAATCGCAACATCCACTCACAAGAAAACAGAATCCTTTATCTTAAAGCATCTTCCTCCAACATGACTCTTTAATGTAAATTCAACATGACTCCATTAAAATCCTTAACAGAATAGAATGTGAAATCCTGAACTGGATACAAATTCACGGCATTCAAAATCTACTACAAAATGTATGCTTATATCGTCCTATTAACTTACCACTTTCTCATTGATACGACCGCTCTCAAAAACATCAACTACCTCCCATTCACTGGCAACAATGATACCACATATCCCACCAAGTACTGAAAAGGCATACTATCTAAAAACAATAAAAATTATCAATAATACTCATTCACTAATCTTCTATAAAAGTTATGAGTACTTGCCCACTACACACATTAAACTAGTCCTATTCATTAGGGTATTTACATATATAATAATGCATCATGCAATATGCAGCCATCCATGCACACAACTTACTTAAAATCAGGCTGCAATCTAGAAGTATTGAATATACATAGACCGCTCTTCCAGCTACAATACACGAAACACTTGTTTCACCCAGTGCCCTTAAACATAATATAGACCTGGCCCCAAACCTTCACAAAGTGTGAAACTCCGATCTCATATTTTAGAACCTTCAACTAAACCTCCAGCCCTCAGTCACACAAAAATTAATGGACTTCACATCAGACCATGCGATGCAGGCCGACTACGTATCATTCGCAGACGACACCGCACAGATCACAGTGGATATGTGCATAGGCTAATATTAAATGCAGCATACACAGTATGCCACCCAATAGATAAGCACAAATAATGAACATAGAGTAAAGAAAGACACCATCAGTTCAAAATGCAATTAAGATAATACCCATCAGACGGCTAAATACATCTAGCATCTTCATCAACTTACGAAAGTTTCCCAACACCAACAAAGGAGCAACCTTAGGTTTTCATTTACCAACACCCAGATTTGGGGCCCAAATCACTAGAAGACAAGGAATGGCTGGCAAAATATTCAAGAAATTCACCAATTTCTACTAGTCGCTCACCTGGCCTTTGATCGTCCGATTCTCACTCATCTACCGGACCATTCAGCGTAAACAACAGAAAAAGATACACCGAGAGAAAGAACAGCAGTAGCCTTACCGAAACAAAATCTTGACCAACAATAATAATCCTGAGTCTCGATCGACTTTCTATTTCCCTCTCTAGTGTTACCAACCCACGCCACATCATCTCTCGTCCGTCATCTCATTCATTCATTACAACATCTAGTTCCGCACATGTCTAGTGACTATCCCTATAAAATTAAAAAATGTATTAAAATATGATAAAAATTATACAATAATAACAGTCATTACAATAAAAAACGACGCCCAATTACTCATTGTAAATACGATAATGGTGCTAATAATGTGCAGGCATAGACGCACCAACCCTGGCTCATGACCTCCTAAGACCTGCAGTGTGGATCTTTCTTCGCACGCAAACACTTAAGTGGACACCTCAGTAAACTAAAAGTCATGCGCCTAATAAATTTTCGTCTTCAGCTGTTTTTCAAAGATTCCATCACCTGAGTATCCACGAATCGCAAATAGTGTTCGCTTTCGTAGGTGGGCAGGAAACGGATTTGGACGACCGGAGTACAAGTACCGAGGTCCAAGATGAACCAAGGTTGCATGTACGTATTGGAGGAGTGGTAATAAGAGGTCGTGTTGCCATCATTTGCATATTGAGGAATCCTGAAAATCAGGCCAAAGATTAACTGAACTATTTTTTCATAGACATTTGAATTTCCTGAAATTTAAGGAAATAGATCATATTAATTATTCTTTTGCTTACATTTAAAATATAAATATAAAGGCACTAATAATCCTGAATTTGACACCTGCTCGTTGGAATATGTTCACCTAGCTTTACGGATTCAGACGATAAAAAATAAGAACCCAGAATGAAACAAACGCAGAGTTTTCAGTGTTTGAAATAAAAGAGTGACTTTTTCCCAAATTCAGCTGCATGCCGAAGTGCGCTTTGATAGTTTTTCTGTAGCACCGTAATTGTTGCAGAAAGTAGCGCTTCTCTCAATAACTGACAAGCGCATATTAATCACTCAATCGATAGATATATGCAGTAGAGTAAAGGGAGGATTCTTTCATTTTAACTATCATGATCATTACATGAAATGCATCAAATATCACGAATTCTGCTATGGAAACTTTAAAAGTGAAAATCGTCTCAATCTCAAAGGTGCTCATATTCCCGCAAAAATTCCCTAACAATATTAAGAGTCGCCCCAGCTTCTGGTAATCCAAATCAGAAGCTGCCGCGTCTGTAAATTTTCACTGGGTATGGACCCTGACAAAATTTAGAGTCGCCCCAGCTTCTGGTAATCCAAATCAGAAGCTGCCGCGTCTGTAAAATTTCACTGGAAATTGTCTTACTGTGGCCCGTAATATGGCGCGGCGATGACAGTTTTGTTTCGTGCCACCTCGCGCAAAGTGCCACTGGGTTTGGGTCTGAAGGTAGCAGTGTTCCTGGACACAGCACCAGTTGCAACACTGCACGTTTCTGAATTCAAAGACAATATTATCAGAGAACCAAATGAAAACGCCATCATTTCAAGTTTATTGGTTGCTGGAATAAGCCAGAGCAACGTATAATATTTATAAAATTTACCACTTTTATTATATTTACCAAAAGGCTTCACATCATACCAAATTAATTTAACCAGGTAATTATTGATAATAAAAATGAAAAGAGCAATTTTTATATGAATACCATATAACTGAGACGTCGTAAAGCCGAATGATTTATATGCAATTTTATTTATATTTATATGGTCTGATTATATGCCACATTTATTTACTAATGCAATCACTGAAGATGATTTAAATTTAGTATTGAACATTTGAACGCCTGTTATATCCAATGGATTAAATGTTAAAAATTTGTAACGCCACTTGCATGGCAGTTGCACTTTAAATCTGAAATTTTAATCAGAGCCGATATGGTCGAAGTTACATGTCACTATCGGTACAATATAATTGAGTTACGGTTAGATTGTTGTCACAAGACGATCTCAAACGTCAACATTTTCACCTCTTATTATAAGCTACGTGCGAAGGTACCCGCAAAAACTATCCCTGCTAAAATTCATTTCCCTATTCTTGAGAATTTATATTTATGAGGAAATTAAATTCAACTAAGATAGTTTAAGCTTATGGATAAACATGTATGTGTGCACAAGGTAAAGAAATAATGAAACATTTGAACACCGATAGATTTCCTAAATTTGGGTATTGATCCAATAAACTTTCTCGTTTTTCTTTATTCTGCGGCTCTCACAGGTTCGATCATATATCTCTGAACGAAATTTGTTGAGAATATCCCGAAATAAAATTTAACGGAGATCAATGTCAGTTATTGCAAATGACATAACGAATCGATAGTTCTTGAATGAAAACTAATAGCAATGTATACGCTAAAATTGATCAGGGAAGCATTTTAAATTAGATTACCTTATACAAAATATGTTCATTAGTTGCTTTATGAAATTCAGCATAACAGCCAAAATATGTCCGATTTCGTCCGTCGATATGCGACCTTCAATTAGCATATTCTTGGTACATGAAATCCTGCTTATCCAAGGTAAAATTGATTCAAAGCGCAATCATTATCGAAGTTAGCAAGTTTTAAAGTGAAGGGATAAGCGAGGTAAAATAATTTAATTTCTTTTGGTTCATTTCATAAAAAAACTAATTCCATAAGCCCCTTCTATCAACTAGGTCTAACTGAAATATTGAGTTTGTTACTAAAAATAGTAATTTTTCACAAATTCGTATTTTAAGTGCATGTTTATACATAATTTGGTCATTATTCTTGTTTATATTGAATTTCTTGAAATTTGTTTTTATTTCTACAATCATAACTGACCATTTTCAAAGTTGAAGCGGTCACAGCCGTTCTTCGCACAGAAGATAGCGCACATGATGAGGCTAGGCAGAGGTACGGTGATGACGTTACAGCCGCAGCTCGAGGCACACTTGCTGGTGTCAGACGAGTTCTGGGCAACTCGGTCCCATATCATCGCTTGCGTTGTACCAAGAAGAGCCGCCAGAATTGTAGGCTTCATTTTCATATCAAACGCTAACTTTCTATCGAAAAAATTGCTTCACGAGACAAAAATTACGACTTTTTCCGGTGGTTTTTAACGTTAACAATTCAAGGATTAAAATCCCTAGCTGAATTATTCTTGTAAGGTGAAATCTGAATGAACTTAACAGCTTTTCCCCACTGCGACTATGAATTTTTAGAGCGGATTTATTAAGTTATATTAATATTAATTAAAGTGGAATATTACAAAAATAAACATATTTTTTTTGTGGTGGCAGACTGCGAGGTGAATTGACCAAAAGAATGTGTCACATAAATTGTAAAGATGCTCGCATTACATTGTAAGCAGCAAATTGCAAGACAATTGCATTTATTTTTAATTTGTAAATAACATCAGAAATCTATCAGGTATCTACAAGTATCTATGTATATAATACTTCCAACTCTCATATGAAAATTTAGTGTCGTAAAAATTATTTCCATAATAATATCAATCATTCATTTAATGTATTTATTTTCATTATTTTCTTAAAACTAAAACTTCGTTTATTTTATGTGCAAGAATTAGAGTTCTGATTGGTTGTTACTTATTTCACTGAACAGATACTTCTTTAATGAAATATTTATGTAAATAAATTTTGGGATAAATCCGACCAGGCAAAATTCCAACGGAATTTAGAAATGTTTATGGCAGATTTAACGTACTATTTATGTCCAAAATTAACAGAACAAATGCTACGAGTACTATAGGCGAATGTGACTGAGTACAACAGTTGTACTTTTATGAGGAGTCAAAAGTCGAGGTCTATAAAACACAGTCTACGAAAAATAAGTTAAATCCATGCTTTAGCGATGATAGGTCTTAGCAGCACATTAACAGGTAACCAGACGAAATGTAAATAAAAAATAAAATCACCGAATCCACAATATATCACTGACGCGTTGAAGTCGAAATTGTCCTACCATAAAAAGTGGGAGCCACTGTGGCTTTACTGACCGAGATCTGCAATTGGTCTGATTGGTTGCTAATTCTTGTTCGATGAAAATGAAAGACTATTTTGGTAGTGAACACAAAGATCGTTGCCTGACTACAGTGAACCTCATATTGACTGCGTGCTTTAAACATCTTCAATCACGCACATCTTTCCTCACGCTGACTAAAACGCACATGCTGAAAGAAATTAAATTTTGTATTATAATAAAACACTGTATTTTTCCAACTTATAAATTCTGGTCTCAATCATATTATAAATGATTAATTAAATGAGCACGTGCTCGTCGAGTGCTGAAATCACAAATTTTATCAACACAATATCGCACAATTTTTCCAATGACCTTCGCATTGAGATCAATCCACGATCAACTTGATTTTCCTAAACGAATTCCTACCATGCATCGTCATTGAGCTTTTGTTCAGGTATTGGTATAAAACTATAAATCTTTGATCGCAGAAACTCTAAGTATGAAGAAAATTCACTTGACTATTTCCGATGCAAATTCAAAGATACCTGCGCATATATATAGCCAGGAAAAGATTAGTTTTAAATCAACGCCCTGACTTTCAACTTCCCTTGATGATTTGATACTAACTCTAGCCGAGCACTTGGCTATCATCACAAAACTTCTTCAATGCAATGAATTTTTTAGCTCTTGGCTGATTGGTGCCTCTGAAACCAAGGGATATTTCAAGGCGTTGAGAATGAAGGCCATGGAGAATCTAACGAATAATGAATTGAAATTTAAATTATTTTTTATCTTACGATATGGCTAAACGCACACAATTTTGAATGTCTGTAATTTTAAGCAATGTTATAGTCTTCTAGATATTTACAATACCATCTGACAATTTATTTTGAATGCCTACATAGATAGAATTCGGCTTATTCCATTAGGCTTAGTAGATAATTATTCAGTTTCAGTGATGAAATTAGGCGTCAATAGGTTGCCTACGTGATGTTTTGTATTCTCAACACAAAAACGGGAAATTTAATGCCAATAATTTTCAATATTACGCGGTGGAGATGATCGAAATTCGTGCAATTTTATTCCGGAATAAAAATTCGTGCACTTTTAGAATCCTTTTATCCCGAGTTTCATTCAAAAGAATATAATCTTAAAATCAAGTAAAATTAGAGAAAGACATTTCAGCTCTCACATTCACATAGCATTCTCATTGGACTGCAATTGCCTAGAGCGGAAAAAAATCTTATTTTTCTTCCAAGATTATTTATGCATACCAATTTAATGATCAAATTTAAATTTTGGCCTGAATCCTTTTCTCCCAGTTATGCAATGGCTCACTAGTCTCCACCCTAGGAATAATCTAGAAACTAGTCTTTGTTGGAGAACAGTAAGTAATCTATAGGCAGTATCCAGGAAGTATATCCTGGATACTGCCTAGATATGAAATTTTTTGGTATTTGAGTGCTGGAACCATGGGTCCTCAAAAATCGGAGTTTGGGTTGTAAAATGTGAATTCAATTATACCCTAAATACATATGATCATTTGGAGCTCTGCATAATGACTATTTATAAGCTGTTTGAACAGATCTCTATATTACATATCCCCGCGAGGTTTATCTATGTTTAGTGGTTATGTAGTAACGCAATGCAAATAAATTTAATATTAAAAATTTGCATTCTCATTAAACTCATTAAAACAATTTATTATTGAGTGCTCAAAATGACATACCGGCACATTGAAAAAATTATACTTCTAATATAAATAAATTTTATATTAGCGCACGCTGCACATCGCTTATACGTTTTAGATACCTTGGATTCCATTGTAATAAGACTGCTTGTAACAATATTTAGTGCTATCTCTCCTCATACTATGCTATGGCTCAAACCACAGATACAAAGCCCTTTGTTTTTATTTAAAATAATCGCGTTTCGCTCACTGAAAATTATTTTGTTCAGTGACCATTTCAATGTTGCACGGGACACAACCGTGTGATCTTTCGCTGACAATTTTAAATATTTCCCCTATCATTTGAGGTTATCATACCAGTACATAAATACAAAACTTAAGTTTAATAGCAATGGCTATAGCGATCTAACAAATAACATGAAAATGGTCCATTTTCCAATCCCTCCATTTGGCTTATGCGAAGATAATCTACCTTCTATCAGAAGCAATGCGGAATGACAAGATGGACAATAATTAAGGAGGACTGAAACACAGAAATTTTAGAGATTTAATATTTCATGTTCCCGATATGTTGACTTTACTGCTGAACCTACTTTTTTATTCATGGTTTCTGTATATTCTGCACCTGTAGAATTTGATAAATATTCGTGCTGATATGGAATTTATTGAAATTCTTTTTTATTACTCCAACCTTGTACTCATAACTGACCATTTTCGAAAACGAAGCGGTCACAGCCGTTCTTCGCACAGAAGATAGCGCACATGATGAGGCTAGGCAGAGGTACGGTGATGACGTTACAGCCACAGCTCGAGGCACACTTGCTGATGTCAGACGAGTTCTGGGCCCATACTTTCAATAAAAGTTAAGAGATCGTAAGTTCATCAGCCAATCATTGACGGCCTTTCAAGCCACTCTTTTAAAAACAGTTAAGAGATCGTAAGTTCATCAGCCAATCATTGACGGCCTTTCAAGCAAAATCCACCAATCATAGAAAAGAAAATAGAGCGTAAGTTCTTACGTTCACTAAGCCAGTTTTGAAAGTATGGCCCCTGGGCAACTCGGTCCCACATCACCGCTTGCGTTGTACCAACAAGAGCCGCCAGAATTGTAGGCTTCATTTTCATATCAAACGCTAACTTTCTATCGAAAATATTTAATTCACGAGACCATAATCACGTCTTTACCTATAGCGGCTTTTAAGATTAACAATTCAAGAATAGAGATCCGTAGCTGAATAATATTTTAAATGTGAAATCTGAATAAACTATACCTACAGCTTTTCCCCAGTGACAAGTTGTATGGTAAAATAAAGTTAAGCTGGCAAGTAAATTATTGGTATACCAATCATATATTCATTTACATTTATTTTAAATGATGAAACTTCTTTCTGCGCGGTAGACTGCGAGATGTCCTGAACAGTAAAAGGTGTCACATAAAACGTGATGTTGCTTGCCTAATAATATCAGCAGCCAATTGCACGGCGATTTTGAAATTTTCCAATAATGTCAAAAAAGTACCTTTAGGATCTGCATTATTTTTCCTGCTCTCAAATTTTCCTCTCAAATTCTGTTTTATAAATTTCCTGAAAATTGATAAAACAATCAACGTTGAGGCATCAAAGTCAAAATTGTAGTAGTATAAAAGAGTGAGAGCCACGGCGGCTTTATAGAACGATATCTGTTCTTGTTCTGATTGCTTGCTAATCTTATTCGACGCAAATGAACGACGATATTGATAGTGAACACAACTAACGTTGCCAGCCTCCAGTGAACCTCTGATAGTGTGCTCAATATCTTCAGTCACGCATGGAAGCGCCGAGTTTAATCAACGAATAAACCAAGTGTCTGCACGAGCAGAGATATGATAAAAACAATCGTAGAATTTAATTCAAATTTTCATCAAAATTATACACCCTGAGTGTTTTCAACGAATAAATCCATATTTTAATCCTATAGCATACTTGATTAGTTAAATCAAAGCGCGCGTGTAGAGTCCATTCAATGAGTGCCTCGTATTTATAGTTTTAAAATTAATCAAAAGACCTGCGACTAGATGAACGACTTCATACATCCTGAATTTTATTTAAAACAATTTCGCACAGTCTTTCCAGGAAAGGCCTTCACATTAACTGAAGTATTAAATGCCGAGTTAAATCGGCACGCGCGCCTTAAGATCAATCAGCTATCAATTTGACTTTTTTTTAAATTAAATGGATTCCTTCC